CTCTTCCCCTCTGCCTCTCCCACAGCAGGAGAGTCTCTGAGTAGGGCTATTGAAAAATCTAGGCCATTTTATACCTTCAGGACGAGAAATGACTTCAGACGTCTTCTAGTCCAGGCCACACTTAGGAATCTTGCTAAATCCCAGCTGGGTGTTTACTAGAGTCTGTTTGCTTGAATGCTTCCGTCATTTGTCCTCTGAGAAGCCAGCTACCCACCCTCTCCCCACACATTTAGATTCCTTCTCTGGGCGGGTCACTCTTAGAGAAGTCTTCCTTGTTAATGTGAGATGTTCCATGCAGCCTGGACCCATTGGTCATAGGCCTGTCTTCCAGTGTCACGTAGTAATGCATCCCCCTTCTAATTGTCTTTAATCTGAGGTCAGCATTCCTGTCCTCCCGTCCTGCACCACCAAGCTTGCTTTCTTCCGGGCCAACTTCTGGTTCCTTCAATTGTCCTATCAGTTGGCACTCAGACTGAGACCCTCCCGGGCTGGCCTCGTTCCAGAATGACTGTCCCAGACAGAAACACAGGGAGGTAAAGTTCTGGCATCTGCCACCCACTCCCTTTGACAGAGGCGAAGTGTCGGGGACGTGACTACACCACTGCGGTTTTCTCCTTACTCTGGAAGTCCTTGGCTCACCAAGTTTCTGCCAGAGAGAACAAAGGCTCTCTGCAGGCTGTCCTCGAATGTCCGAGGGTCTAAGGTTGCACTCACGACGCTTACTGACGACCGGAGGAAGACCTTCACTGTCCCCAGGCGCCTTCCCTTTCCTTCTGGGTGGGCTGGTGTGTCTAGGCCGACAGGTTTTGTTTTGCAGGGCACTGCTCTGCTGGCATCAGGACAAGACGCCTGCTCTGCAGGGCCACTCCCGCCCCTTGCACGGCAGGCCCAGCCCGTCACTACTCTAGCCCATTGTCTTCAGCCTTGATAGGGGCCAGTCTGGGCTCCCAGGGGAAACTGTCCAGGCATTGACTTACAAGTGTCATCTGGAATTCGATACTTGTATCGGATGTCCCAGGACGCTCTAGAGAGAGCAACTCCCCAGGGTCAGTGAGTGTCACCTGGACAGTGCTGCCAAAGGCTCCTGGGAGCCCCTCACTGCTGGGTGAGGCACACCTAGGAAAGCTGGCTCTTCCTGTCGCCCAGGGCTTGGTGTGTGGACAGGGAGCCCCGGAGTGGGTGCGGGAGCAGGCGCGGGCCTGCCTAGGGCAGCAGCTCTGCTCTGCCTCCTGCCTCATAGCCCTCCCTGTCCCCTTCAGCAGGTGAACCAGGACGTGAGCCGGCAGCTGCTCCAGGACGGCTATCACCTGGATGAGATCCCCGACGACGAGGACTTGGACCTCATCCCCCCCAAGCCCATGGCCTCCTCGGCATGCTCCTGCTGCTGGTGCTGTCCTGGGGACTCCTCCTGCACCCTCCAGTAGACATCAGCCCCAGGACGGGCCTCGCTGACTGAGGCATGCGCGCTCAGCTGGCCCCTCCGCGTTCAGAGTGTGGCAGGGAGTGCTGTCAGCCCAGAGTCCCCGGGGGCACTGACCCTCTGGGAAGGGCATGGACCACAAGTGGCCCTGCCTGGTGGTTCTCAGGCCGGAGCCCCCATCCAGACGTGGGGCGGCAGACGGAACTCTGGAGCTTTCCTCTGCTGTCGGGGCGGTGTGGAGAAGCCGCTTCCGTGAGAGCAAGAGCAGGGTCCTGGTCCCGACAGCGGGGCGGAGGTGGTCGGCACACACTCACAGGCTTTGCGGCTGGCGTGCTCAGGGAGGGGAGGAGCCAGTGTGTCCACGCTGTGCTGCGTGGCAGTGTGTGGAGGCAGAAAATCACACTTCAGGCTGCAGCTGGCAAGCCTTGAAACCAAGTCTGACTCTTTGGGACCAGTCCAAGAAGTTGCATACGCTCTCCTCTTCCCGGCTCTACAGCAGGTTACAGATTTGACCTTCAGGAGAGCATGAGGTGGGTCCCTCTGTCCCTCCTCAGGCAGCTCCTGTGTAACCATGGCAGGAATATAGCAGGCAGGTTCCTGATGCAGCAAGATGGGGCTTCCAGACTCACTGGACCTGGGGCATCCCCACCTGGCCCAGCTGTCCACTGGGATTCGTGACTCTGGTCAGCTCTTCCCTAGTGAGAAAACTGCCCCGCCGTGCACGGATGTATGTATTCCTGTTTCCTTGGTCTCAGCAAGGTGGGGTTGAACGTACTGGGCTGGCCCAGGAACCTGCAGTTCTTGTGGTGACCAGCAGAGGGAGGTGCAGGAAGCTCCTGGTGCTTCCTCCTTGTCTCGCTTTGGGAACTTGGAGAACTAGTGCAGGTGGGGGGTGTGCCCACGTGGCTGCACGGGCTTCGGCCAGACTGCAGTGACCAGATAGGGTGGGAGGAGAGGGTAGGCCAACTCCTAGGCTCTGCCAGCACAAGGGCCTCTCCTCACTCTACCATGGGCCCTGCTGTTGCCAGTCCTCTGACCACAGCGTAAGCCTCAAGGGCATGCTCCGGATGGCTTTCGCAGGGTCCCTCGGGGTCCACAGCTTCGCAGGGATGCGCGTGACCCCTGGGCCTGGGAGGTAATGGGAAGGTTGAGGAATTTGCACAGGGAGATAGGCCTGCCCTGTCAGCAGCTGTCCTGAGGGTAACCCTGCTCTGCCCAATGGGCATCTGGGCTTTTCTCCAATTGTGGAGTCCAGAGGGAAAGACAGAAGTATCGAGGGGCTGTGGCTGCTCAGTCCGCAGTGGACAGCCTCCCCAGAGGCACTGTGGCCGGGGGTCTGGAACAGAGAGGCAGCGGGTGGCTCTGCTCTGAGACCGGTCCCAGCACTCTGAGCACTCTGGCAGGTGCCTGCAAGGAGTGAGGCCAGCTGAACCCCTTCCCCATCCACAGGCCCTCCAGGCCTTCCTGCTTTCTGCAGGGGGAGTGCCCACATGCACAGGAGACAGTTGGGGACAGTGTGAAGGCAGCAGTGCTGGGGGGCCCCGGTGGGGGGGACTGGACCCATGTTTCTGTGGAGCTGGACAGACCACAGAGCCTGTGCACTAGCAGCTGCTGGGAGTAAGGGTGGCAGGACCCCAGAACCAAAGCCCTGCAGGTGGTTGAGGCAGCAGTCAGCACGTGCACATCTGGGTGTCCTGGAGTGCTGGCCGTGTGCGAGGGCCTGGAGCAGGGTCCATGAGCCATGAGGCAGGGTAGAAATGGTCAGCTTGGGACCGGAGACCGCAGGCCCACATACCACCAGTAAGGCCCCAGGTGCCCAGAGCCAGCTGCCTTAATTCAGAGTGCCGCGTCCTGCAGTCCCCCGGGGTGCTTGGGCTCACCCGCAGAGCGCACTGGGGTGCTTGCAGTGCTCTCCGGAGCGTGCGGCCCCGTACAATGGTCAGAATAAACGCAACCACGCTAGTTTGGCTGTCTGTGTCGCAACAGGATTCTTAAGAAAGGCCTCGATATTCTGAAATGCTAGGAGCGGAATAGCCTGACTGGCAGTTCCTCCTGCACCCCTCCCCTCCCCGTGTCACCGGCGGACACTGTCGGGGACCTGTCTGACTGCAGAGCACACATGGAGCAGGCCCTTGCGGGGCGCCTCTTCACAATAGTTCCCTTTAGCAGACCCTTCTCCTCCCGGCTCACCTTTATTTTTTTGTTAGCTAAAGAAAATTCAGAGGCAAACATCCAGAACATTCTAAGGCAGTTTCCCAGAACTCTACTGCATAGGGAATCGTGTGTGAGCAGAAGCTCAGGAAGATTCTCTCGTAGGAGTCTAAGGAGCCAGAGCCCCGAGGCATGCTTAGTCTGGGGTGTCGGACTAACACTGCCGGTTAGAAACCCAGCGGCAGCACAGACAGCCAGACAGCCCCCTGGGGAGGCATGGCCCCCCGACATGGGCATGTGCCCACTTAGGTGCCCCCTGCCAGCTTACCAACGGGAGCCAGGCATCACCTCACGGTGGAAACCGGCTCGCTCTTTCCCAAATCCAGATCTGAGTATGCCTGGGCAGAGACACACCTTCCGTGAGGGACGGCTCAGCACTTCCTGCCATGCAGGCCAGTCTCCTACATCCGCCTAACTGGCATTGTGGCCCAGGCGCGGGGACAGTGAATGAGCAGGTGTGGCCAGGACTGGCCTGCCAGCCATCTGCTGACCCTGCTCCAGGGCCAGGAGGGGAGCAGCAGAGATGCTCTTAGTGCCCACAGCCTCTCCTCCCTGCCTTCTCCCTGGAGGGCAAGGCCTGTGAGCTGCCCAAGGCTGACGCCCGCCTCCTGTCCCACTCCTCCCCCTAGGACTGCACAGTGGAGCCTGCCCACCCTCGAGGCTGACAACACCCAGGGTGGGCTCTTTGGCCCATTTCCGGGACAGAAACTCCAAAGGCTGAGTGCTCTCTGCCCACTGGCCTCAACACGTGCGATACTTTAATTGCTCTGACAGAGCAAGAGGGTGTAGGTAGCGCTAGTCCACAGGCCTCCCCGCCCCTCTCCCCGCAGCCGGGAAGTGGGCAGTCCCAGGGCCAGACCTGTTCCAGATGCCGCCTGGCCTCTTGCTCTGCTGACACCGGTGCTGAGAACCGAGCTCACCACAGCCTGACGCTGTCGTGGGGGCAGAGCTGCTGTGGAGTGGGCCGCCTGGCTCGGGGCGGAGTGCTGAGAGGACGCTCATGATGCCCGGGAGGACGTTCAGCCTGCCGTGCCCGGGAGTTGCTCTCGGAGCTTGCAGACCCAGCTCCTCTGGGGTGAGGGGCACAGCAGGGCCGGGAGGCAGCGGCCTCTACAGCAGGCAGCAGGCTCGGAACAGCAGCAAGTCCTTGGGCTCCGTGAGCTTCAGTGAGACACTCTGGTCGGCCCCGATGAAGAGCACGCTGCCACGCTGCAGGGGCATGGTGGCCTGGGCTGTGGGCGTGCTGGCTGTCACTGTCCCCTGCACTATCAGCAGGATGCTGGCGGAGTCCAGCACTGAGATCTTATACTCCGTGACGGAGCCAGGGACCTGGCAGGAGGGATGGGAACACAGTGTGACTCACCGGGGCCCTCACGACCCCCAGAGAGACTCGAGGGAGAACCCTGCACCTCTGTTCTGCCCACCGCCGGTTCTCATATGCAGCCCTGGGTCAGGTCTGTGGGCCAGAGGAGGGACAGGCCGTGTGGTGCCCTCCGTAGGTGAGCGTGACAGAGGAAACCCAGCCCCTGGTGCATATGCCCCCCTGGCCAGAACACCCTCCAGGCTCTCCACTCACCTCCATCTTCAGAACAGTGAAGTCTGGCACAGGGGGGTCGTAGATGGAGAGGTAGGGGTCTTCCTGGCTCCATGCGGGGAGAAAGAGCCTGTCCTTGCTGGGGCTGGGGGTGTAGCTGAGCATCTCGCACAGCGTGGGCACATCGATGAACTTGGGCGTCAGGCCAGCACGCACTGTGTTGTCCGAACACGCCATGCACTCCACGCAGTCTGGGGAGACACTGCTGTGAGGGCTGGAGTCTGCCCTGGAGCTTGGCCCCAGGTCGGCCCCCCGCCCCGAGCTCCAGAGCCCTCCGTGAGGGCCAGCGCTGTGTGAAAGCACTCCGGGAGGAGGGACTAAGTGAACACGAAGGCAGGAGGCGGAGTCCCCGGGCAGTCCTGCTAATCTGGGGAGCCGGTGCCCCACTGACTCGCACAGAGCACCCTGTGCACAAGTGGGCAAGCGGCTCAGTCATGTCTGCCGTCACATTTGAACGTGCGTCTCTGGACAGAGGACAGGCAGGCAGAGCTGTGTGATCCAGATGTTTCCGCCGGACGAGCAGACTCACGATAT